GCATGAGAATTCATTATATGCATCCCGTCTTTTCTCGCTCACAACTATATTATTGGATGGGGCCCACTACATCCTTAGGTTCTTCAATCGCCTGCATACCTTGCGAGCAAACATGTCGCTGTATATCTAAGCACGGAGACTGAACTGGACACGAAGTTCATCATTGAGGATATCTTCGCAACGGGCAGGCAGGTTTGTGCGTTCTGATCGATTGCCTGTCTTTAAGGCGAGGCACGAGTGTCTGTGCTGGCTATTCTTTCGATAATAGAGATTGATATGGAGGTGCTTCTTGTATTCTGTATTCGAGCTGTGTGGTCATCACTAACTGTTGTGTTGATGCGTGCAATAAGTATGCATTGCCTTCGCTTCAAAACTTTTTACATAGTTAAATTCCCAGAGATCCTATGTAGATCAACTGATAGGCGATTATTTAGTTCCCCTGGTTGATGTCCTCTTTTGGCGTATACGTATCCCTCCTGATTTACTTCTACTTCGATCACTTGTGTGTTCGAGAGGGATTTCCGGATGTGCTTTAATATGTGGTAACCTCGATCTGTTTTGGGTTGTGTTGTGTACTGATAGGCATTGCTATGTTCCACGATACACGCTGAGTGCCATGCACATGCTCCGATGCGATAACGAAGCCGAAATACAGGAAATGCCGCTTACGAAATGGAATATACGCCAACCCAAAGGTACATACTTTAGCCATGATAACATCGCGTTCTAGTGGGAATTAGTTACCTCGTAGTAACATCGCATTCAAGTGGGAATTAGTTCACTTTTTAATCTATTAGTTAACCTTTTCAGCTGCCAGCGGGTGTACGCGTGCCAGCCTCAGAGCAGCTCTGAACTCGGTGCGTGTTTAAGAATGTGTGTACCACTTCCTACCTGGCCTATCATGTAGTTGATGAACACGCCGTGCATGTGGAGATTTTCCAGCGTTTGCCACACATACCGTTTCACAAATATCCCATACATAAAGACATTATTCACCTGCCTTCATACTCTCACACACCATCTGCTTCGCTTCTCCGGGATGCGACCGACGGACAGAGTACGACACTCAGCGAGACGCCTTTGTGAACAAAAAACTGGACCTGATTATTGTGCCGGGAGTTGCCTTTAGCACCAGCGGTGGGCGGCTGGGCCACGGCAAAGGCTACTACGATAAGTATCTCAGCCAGTGCAAAACCCAGGTGAGGATATGCTTCCATTGCTCGCGCCACTAGTCATATACTATGCGTATGCCACTGGTCATATACTATGCGTATGCCACTGGTCATATACTATGCGTATGCCACTAGTCATATACTATTCGTACGCCGCTAGTCACATACTATGTGTATTCCACTGGTCATATACTATGCGTATGTGATGATGCTATCTGGGTTAATTACCAGATTGTACTGCTGTATGAATTTGCGTAGGTATAGTCTTTGTGCGAAGTATTGAACACAAGCGTGCTATCAACAGTACAGGGCAATCATTAGCGAGGTTCACGTGGAAGATCGAAGCCCGTCGCCCCAAACTTTATACTGATATCGTCATTGGGCGTATACCAATCTCGACGATGTCGCCGACACATGCACAAGCTCGTCTAAAAAGTGCGTTCCTATCACATGACAGGAAGAGACGAGTCGCGTGCAAACCCTGGGGTTGGGTTTGACAGTGCAGCGGAGAGTGGATATACCGTTAGATCCGCATGACGTGCCTATTGATTTCGTTATATTTCCTAAAGAGGAAGGAGGGGATGCGAGAGTTCCGTCTGCGACTAGTTGATAGGGATTCCGGATGCCACCACAACCGTTATGGGCTTATGCAGCGCATAGACCTCGTGCGGCACAAACTACTCCGACCAGGATCGGACCAAGCATAAACGCGGGTAGCAGAGTGTAGTGTGCTGAAGGACCCTTCTTGGTAAAGGTCGTAAACGAGTGAATCATGTTGACTGGGTGTATAAACCCATTTGGACTTATTATCTGATACAGATACATGTCATAAAGTAGGTAGCATAAATCTGATACAGATATATGTCATATAGTAGGTAGCATATATCTGATACAGATATATGTCATATAGTAGGTAGCATATATCTGATACAGATATGTGTCAAATAGCAGGTAGCATGTATCTATTACAGATACATGTCATATAGTAGGTAGCATGATCATTTTGAATCGCTACTGCGAAGTTCCCGTCAGTACATAATCCTATTGGTGTCGACATGGGCACCTTATTCTGGTCTCGTTTGTGTACCTGGGCTAAATACAGGTGTGCTCAGTTCAATAGCTAATGCGGTTCAATAGCTAATGTAGATGTATATAATAGTAGGTGGCTTAATAATGTTCTGCAGCACCTTAGGTACTGCTGGGACGCTTTAGCAGCGAATTCTACTATAGTCATAGTGTTAGTATAATTTGTATTTTTTTAAATGTATCTGTATGTATGTTCTTACTTATTAGAATATTACTACGATATGCCTGCGAGTGCGTGATGTTTCAAACAGATGAATGGAAATTAAATACAAAATAATCATTTGTGTAAATAGAAATAAAAATATAAAAAAGTCGATGACACTGATGATTCATTGATGAGTCATAGTTTTCAACTGGCTTGTGACTTGGGAGTTGGGGCGAATCCCCAAAAAAAAATAAAGCGATGACACGTCCTACGGGCTTGCCCTTGTTCTACCAAATGGATGGTCATGTAGAGTTTCAGTACTAAAAGGGGTCAAATTTTGTAGTCACTTTAAGTTTAAAAAAAAAAAGGTACATAAACTGCGTACGCAAAGACATATCCCAGCTGTATCGTTGCTGTACATATACCTTGCGCCATTACTGATTTACTGGGTTATATATATTATATATATATAGTCACACCATTACTTGGGTGTATACATATTCACGCAGACTGTCGAGGTGTGGGTATAAGCATACGAATATTGAAACTTTTTATTTACATCACAGAGTAGCGTTGCATTTGCCTTTGACCTCAGAATTGGTATCTAATTGCGAACTTCTAATGCGGATTGCTGTCATTGACGAACACACTATGACGACATCGAAGACTACCGTAAAGGCGAAGGTGAGTGATAAATTTTAACGTGATACACGTCAGTTTCAGATATCTACATCGTCCTTCAAGGTTCTGGATGCAGGTTGATTGTGTCGTTACAGCTTATAGTTACTTGGTGGTCCGCGCTGCAGTAAGGATTGCTATGTAGATTTTTTGATTTCGAAATGGACATGCGGTGCTCTGACGTACATTTAGATTGTCTTCTAGTAAGAAGGTGGCTCTCCTATTTCCCTTTGTTTCAATTTTAAAGTCGTGATGTTTCGTCCCTCAGGTCAATGTATACGAGTTTGTAAATGTCCCAGTCTCCCTATATGTGTGAGTAGCATGGCCGTAGTACAGGGGAGCTATATCGTTTAAAAGCATGCACGTATCGGGTCGAGGCTACCCACATTATTGTATTTCATAGCCTATTGCGTTATTTTGCTCCTGAGGTTGGTCAGTCAGAATCTATAAGCCGGTCACGGTGCAATATCAACATCAGTGCGATTGCACGCTTATAGGTCCTTGCACCGGAGGCAGCATATACTGACATCTTTTCACTCTCGTTAACGTCTTTTCTTGGTTAACCCACAGTGGAACGATGACCTGCGTCGCTTCACACAACCAACAGCCGACTTGACTTACGCATACCTGCTAGCACGCATTAGTGAGCTGTTCGTTATCCCCGTGTCTCAAATTAAACTGACCTATGTGGACTCGGACTTGGACGCCATCTCAATCTGCTGCGAGAAAGACGTGCTGGAGGTGATCAAGGTGAGTGGTTGCTGTATGGCACCCCAAGTGGCTATTCGTGCTTCTCGGTGGCTGATTTTGTAGTATACTGTTTTTGCCTGAAGGCTAGTACAGACCATACTGATTTTGTAGGGTACTGTTTTTGCCTGAAGGATACTACAGACCATACAGGAGTCGAAGGTGCATGTATCATGCCATGCGCAGCGTTTCATGGGCATGCTGTTTAAGCGGGTGCCGTCCGTCTCTAATGTGTTGGCGGGGATAGCGTTTATCCATGGCGTTTTTGTGGTAGTCTATTGTGTTGGCAGGGATAGCGTTCATTCATGGCGTTATTGTGGTAGTCTCTAATGCATTGGCAGGGACAGTGTTCATCCATGGCGTTTCTGTGCTAGTGCATACTCAAGTCTCCACAAGCTGCGATTGGCTCAAACGTTTATAATACTATCCGTTTACGCGGCTTTGTGACGCGGTTGTATTACACGGTACGTAGGCTTCCAAAGGTGAGTCGCCCCTGCGGTTAAACGTATCTTCTGTGCCCATCGACGGTGAGCCGAACGAATCCGAAGATGACGAAGCATGGACTCTGATGGGAACCGGCACACCCCCAACGAATGAGGAGTCTCCGGTGGGAAGACGTAAGTTTCAATGCACTCAGTACCAACAAATATATGTCATGTCGGTCTTATAGCACTGCGCATATGTGTCTGTCCGCAGCTGGCTCGACCAATTGTGCCGGTTGTGGTTGTCATCGCTGCGAGCGCTTCTATCTCGACTAGTTGGTCACGAGAATCATTTCTTTTTTAATATGAAGCGTATACGTAATAAACGTGAAGTATCGACGCAATCGAGGCGTATTGTTCACCTTCAGCGGTTCGCCTTTGTCCACATCGTCGAATTCTACCAACTGTACCTGGACTAGAGGTTTTGGACTGGTGGGTCCAACCTTCTACCTCATCCCTAACCCACACTCATCGCCAACCTTACTGTATACTCATGCCTTACACATACTCATGCCTTACACTTCAACTCGTGTCCCTTTAAAACAAACCAGCAGAGTCGCCAGTACTACAGACCCCCTCCTTTCACGAGATGCATGCCGACAGTTTCCCGGCAGAGTTGGACAACACTCCGCCACAATCCGATGGGCCAGGGCCTGCGGTGGCCGAAAGCAATGAGGGTTCGGAATCCCTGCCCGCTCTGCTTGATTCTAGAGGTAGGTAGGTGCATTCTACCGCATTTGTCTTTGCTGGCGTGGTACTGTTATGATCCGTGCGCATGCAGTTAGTATAGGAACGACGCTTGGCGTTAAAACGGATTGGATTAGACAAGGGATGAGCAATGTGACCTCTCACATGGATCATTGACGATTAGACAAGGGATGAGCAATGTGACCTCTCACATGGATCATTGACATGTCCGTTTGTGTTACTACAGAAATCCCGAGACGCCCACGGCAATGCATCGACTCAGACGCAGACTCGCCCGTTGTCCAGCGACAGGCCAGGTCGGTGTCGAACATCTACCCGGATCTCGATGGTACCTCGAGTGTGGCTACCAAACAGGTACGGTGCCTCAATCAGCGTCCACGGTTCAATTTAGTTCTGTTGGCTTGGTCATATACGTTTGCTTTGTGGTCTTCCGGGTGCAGTTTCTTTTTGACGTTGGCATGCGGTGTCCGTAGGCCAACGGTTTGTCCAGATGTGTAACTAGTTGGCGTATAGTCACTAGAGCACACGCTACATCATGCTACACATGAAGGATCCTTTCTCCCCCACGCACCTCGTTAAATCTATGCCGTGATTGAATGTCCGCGTGCACAGGTTACTACCAGCATCTACGAAGACGCCGTCTGTACTGGGTCGAGTCTCACGCCGTCCCCGACCCATAGCAGTGGTCTGTACCCTGATGCCAACGAGCCATACACCGCAGAGGCCAGTTCCAGCTCCGCCTCATCCACACCCCCGGGTGCCAGTGGTACGGGCACGGGTGCAGGGGACACCCCGGTTGACCTGTGTAGTAGCGGGAGTGAGTGTGCGCGTGGTACGAAGGATGCAGGGTTGGGGCTGGTGACACAGACTAAGATATCAGCAGAGCCCGAGGCTGTAGAGACCGCAGCGGCTGCCGCAGCGACCACCGGGACCGGGTGGGACTGGGCCGACCCATTCCGCACTGTGGCCTCGACTGTAAGTCGGGACGCCAGCGCACCCAAACCCTCTTCGAGCAGGACCGATAATGCCCCGTTTCCAGAGAGTACCGAACCCATATCGCCGCAACCACACGACTCGCCTGTAGCCGCAACGCAACTACCGTCACCGCTGGTGTTGCGGTGCGAGGACTTTGAGGGACAGGCACAGTCACAGTTGGAAGATGAGGGTACATCCCAACTGTCCCCGGCGTTGGGGAGCACTGGGGACAGCTACACACATGTGCTGTCGGACTCGGAGAGAAGCCCCTCGCCATCAACTAGCTTCACCAGTATCGCACCACGGTTGCCTAGCAACCCGGCGGCCAGCTCATCCCGGACGCCCACGTCACCCCCTGTCGCCACTGTGGCACAGAACATAGGACTGTACCCTCCAGTAGACAACCATGCAGTCACCGGGTGCACAAATACTGACACATCCAAGGTGGAGGAGAATGCAGGTGCCAGTGTATATCCCGACTACTCCTTCAGCGGAGTTGCGGCAGATACGGATCTCGATGCAGTCGCGAGTGAAGCTCATGCGGCAGCTGATAGTGTGGTACTTGCGCCAGGTGCTGTTGAGAATGAGAGTGAGGGTGAGAGCCACGCCGATGTCGCTGGGGCTGTGCCGGCTGCAGTGGGTGCCGATACGAATAACATACCTCAGGTAGGTAACTAGGGACGATACTCGTCAGTTATGGAGTTAGGTGTGCTCAATGCATCCACGTCTGTGTGTAGTATACTTCCATACTTGTCGCGCCATGTTGCCTGGTGGGTGTCTGTGTCTTGCTGGGCTGGAAGTGAGTTTGTGACCTTGCTCCCATTCACCTTATTAGTCGATTCTACAGATTACCCTAAACGCTAAAACCCTATACTCAAAACCCCAAACCCCAAACCCTAAACTCTAAACTCTACAGGTTACATGGATGGAGCACGTGGTCAATGAGGGGCACTTTCACCGTCTTATCCTACAGACTCGCTTAGAACACGAATACAACCAGAAGCTGAGACCCACAGTATGGATTATTGCAAGGGCCGTGGCGGACAAGATGCGCGCAGCAGGAACCTACACCGAGGCACAATTGCAGGTAAATATACTTATGTACTTGCAGTTAGATATACATTTATACTTGCAGGTAGATATACGTACTTGCAGGTAGATATACATATGTACTTGCAGGTAGATATACACTTGCAGGTATATATACATATGTACTTGCAGGTAGATATACATATGTACTTGCAGGCAGATATCCATTTGTACTTGCAGGTATATATACATATGTACTTGCAGGTAGATATACATATATACTTGCAGGTAGATATACGTACTTGCAGATAGATATACATATATACTTGCAGGTAGATATACGTAGTTGCAGGTAGATGTACATATGTACTTGCAGGTAGATATACATATGTACTTGCAGGTAGATATACATATGTACTTGCAGGTAGATATACATATGTACTTCCAGGTAAATTTACATCTATACTTGCAGGTGAATATACATGCATACTGGCAGATAGATATACATACATACGTGCAGGTAGGTATACATACATACGTGCAGGTGAATATACAGCATACTGCAGACGTGGTACTGTTCGACTTTTTTCTCTGAACGCTAAACTTGTGCTCGCTGGGGATGGTAGTTGTAAAGTTTTCCCATTCGCTGCCATCGAAAGCAATACTTCTATATATTATATATATATATACATATATATATATATACATCATACACATATATAAATATATATACATATATATA